AGAGAAATAAGCATAAATTTCTTGTCTAATTCTCAAGGAATGTGTTTTATTGTAGCTGTAAATGGATGCAGCATTGAATATCTTATCAGTAATTATTTCAGTTGAACTGCTAAAGATAATTCTGTTATAATTTCAGATCTGTAAGTGTTATGTGTTATTTCTTGACAATTGCAATCTGTTGAAGCAAATGTGTTCCCCAAAGGGCATGGTGTCATAGCCTAAGTTTTGATAGGGTTTGTATGTTTTCCTGTAACTGACAAAATTGCAGAAGTAAGCATTTGCACATTCAATGATCTTATCATCTGCTAAACTTTCTTAAATGTGATGGGTACACAAAATGAAATAGAGTACTACAGTGCAGTGAATAATTTACCATGAGCTGAGAAAATGTAGCCTAGATTTCTTAGCATAAATGCAAGCAGAAGATTGGTGTCTATGGAAAGCACACCCTTTTCTATTCAACTGAGAACATGCCTCATTTGGAAGCAATCTTTGGTAGCACTGGGGAAATGTGGAAGTGTGGAAATGAAAACAGATTACATCATGTTAGTTAAAAAGAAAGAAAGGAGAGGGAAGAAGGATTTCTGCATGTCATTTCTAAGGATTTATGTAAAAAAGCATCAGTAATACAAATGAAATATTTCTGTTGTGAATTTGTAGTTAACTACACGTGGAATAGTCCTCCCAAATGTATTTTCTGTCATTATGAGCAGTCAATAAAATGGAGTGACTTCCTTACCGATAACATCTGTAGAAATATACTCTTTCTGTAGATTCATTCCTCTATGCCAAATTCAGGCTTTCAACTGCACAGTAATGAAACTTGGAACTTTAAAAATTAAACTGAAGAAGAGAAGGCTCTGAGGAGACCTTAGAGCTGCCTTCCAGTACCAGAAGGGTGCCTACAGGAAATCTGGAGAGGGACTTTTTATAAGGGCAGGTAGTAACAGGACGAGGGTAATGGTTTTAAACTGGAAAAGGGTGAATTTAGATATCAGGAAGAAATTCTTTACTGATGATGAGACACTGGAAGATGTTGCCCAGAGAAGTTGTGGATGCCCCCTCCCTGGAAGCATTCAAGGCCAGTCTGGATGAGGCTTTGAGCAACCTGGTCTAGATGGAGGTATCCCTGCCTATAGCAGAGGGGTTGAAATAGATGATTTTAAAGGTCCCTTCCAACCCCAACCATTCTGTGATTGTATGAAACTTTATATGACTGAATAAAAACTAGAAAATCCTCTTTTTTTCCTCCTTTTTTCTCTTGCAGGAAAAAAAATATCAAGTGCAATGTCCACACTATACATGCCATTATATCTATTATATGCAGAAGTTATGATGAGGGGAGAATGGCACAAAGTGATGGCAGTGGCTGGCGTAAGAATTTTATTTCTTCAGATTGACAGTGAATTTCTGTTTTGGAGAATTCATTGACATTAGCTTGTCACGTTACCACGTCAAGTTGGTCTCAATTTGCACTTGAAAATGTTGCTGTAACTTCAATTTCTCAGCACTTTGTGGTGATGATTGACAAACAGTTCTGTTCTAGTCAAGCTGACAGAAGTAGAAAATGTAAAAGTGTTTCTTGCCTTAA